TTGGTTTTATCTTAACAATACAAGGCTTGATTTTTGCAATGATTTAGAGGGTGGGCTTGGAATAATGATTAGCATGTCTCCATGGATGTCTCCACTATGATTTGGAGGTCATGAGTTTGAATCATGAAAATAACTTTTCTGCATAGTATAAGTAACGTTGTTTATCTAAAGCACTTTTAAGCGGGCATTGGCATAAGCTTTGAAGCACTAGGAACACCTTTCAATATTGTATATGGCTTCACACATATCAATTTATTTGAATCCCATCATTACCATTGTAATATATATTCAATCACATATCATAAGCTCCATTTCAATGCACAAGCTCTATTTCATTAGTTATGTATGTACTCTCTTCTTTATTGTTTGATATATTAGGTATTAAACCATTCATGTGATGGTGTGGTTTGATATATTAGGTATTAAAAATTTGTTGCTCGTTTGTAGTCGACAACCAGCATAAAACTTGTTGAAAAAAATCATGATATGAATCCTTTTGATCTTTGTGTAAGTGCGCTAGGCCGTCCCCTGGAAGCGACGCGCTGTATAACCTGAATATAGTGAAAAATGTGCAAGGGTCGCTTAACGCCTGGGCGTAGTGTCAAATAAGCAAGGGTTCCCACATTACAGACGGATGCGGATAAAGAAATTAGTCCATAAAATTAATGAGATTAATATAAAAATAAGATCTTGGAATATAAGTACTCTAAATGATAAATTAATGGAATTAGTTGATATATGATCCATAGAAAGATTAATATCTTATATATTCAAGAAACTAAATGGGTTGGAGAAAAGACTAAGGAGATCGATAACTTAGGTTTTAAACTTCGGTATTCTGGTAAAAGTCGCACTAGAAATAGTATATGTGTAATTATAAATAAGAGTTTGAAAGGTAATATTGTAAAAATTAATAGAGTTGGAGATAAAATTATAGCCCTCAAGATTATTATTGATACTAAGATTTTTAATATTATAAGTGCTTATGCTCCTTAAGTAGGTTTAGATACAGAGTTTAAAGATAAATTCTGGAATGACTTAGAAGACTTAATACAATTTATACCTCTTGAAGAAAGAATTTTTATTGGAGGAGATTTAAATGGACATGTCGGTGGGTAATAGAATATTTTAGAAATATTCATGGTGGCTACGGTTTTGAAGTGACTAATGAAGAAGGTGGAGCTATTTTAGATTTTGCTTTAGCATATGATTTTGTTATTACTAATATTTTATTCAAGAAAAGAGACGCACATCTTATTGCTTATAAGAATGAATATAATAAAACACAAATTGATTATTTTCTTATGAGAGTAAAAGATCGTCGAGATTATAAAGATGCAAGGTTATTCCAAGTGAAGATTTAAGTACCCAACTTCGTTTATTAGTTTTAGATTTGAAAATTAAGAGTTGTAAAATAAATAATACTAGGAATCATCAACGTAGAATTAGATGAGTTAGATGGGGGAACCTTAAAGACAAATAAAATTATTTTTATGAGTAAAATTCAAGCTTTCAAAATTTGGGATGTTCATGATGAATCAAATAATGATGAATCAAATAATATGTGGGATAAAGTAACAAACACTATTAAACAATTAACAAAAAATGTACTTGGAGTGGGATAAAGTAACAAACACTATTAAACATGTAGCAGAAGATATACTTAGAGAATAAAAAAAAAAAATAATGTGCAAGAAAAGATAAAATATAAAAAGTTAAGTTATAAAAATTGGTTAAAATGTAAAATCTTAGAGAACTTGGAAAAGTATCAAACGACCCTCAGGGAGTCTAAAATAACAATATATGACGTTAAAAATTTCTGATTTTGTTGATTTTTATAATATATTAAGATACTAAGGAGGGTGAAAAATATATGTATAAAGTAGTCAAACAAAAATAAAAAAAAAATAAAGATTTAACTCAAGTAAAGTGTATTAAAGATGAAAATAAAAAATTATTTTACTTAGAAAAAAAATATTCAACATAGGTGGGTGAGTTACTTTGATAAATTTTTTAATGAAATTTCTAAAAATTCGATCAATTTTAGTGATCTTAATATGATTAATAATAATAAAACGTTTCATTTTTACTGTCACATTAGTAAAAAAAAAAATTGAGAAGGCTTAAAAGAAAACCAAGGGTGGAAAGTCTGTAGGACCTGATGATATCCCAATTGAAGTATGAAAATGTTTAGGAGTGAAAATGGTTTCTTGGTTTACTAAACTCTTTAATATTATTTTAAAAACTAAAAGATGTCTGAGGAGTGGAGGAAGTATTTTGGTCCCCATTTTTAAGAAGAAAGGGGATGCACAAGAGTGTGCAAATTATAGA